CGTCGGCCCCATCACCACCCCCCCCCCCCCCCCCCTTTTTTTTTTCCTTAAATTGTGTACCTCAGTTCCTCATGCATGGGATCACTGGTGTTTATTGAACTATTTGCTACTGAGAAGATATTTGACATGTTTGTTTAATCCTGTTTGCAAATGAAAACTGCCTTTTAAAATTTTGTAAAACTGAAAGTTGTATCAAACAAGTCCTGACTATTTCCTGGTCTTTGTGAATAGGTGTTGGTTACAAACAGAACAGTACTATTGTAATTTTTTTTCTTTACTTAAAAACATTGTTTACTGCTGTGTGTAATAAGTTTAAGGAAGAAATAACCTGCCTGTAGCTGTTACATGGGGAATAGCTAATACTGGAGAGGCAGCAGGTAAGTGATGTTCCATTGCATAGATATATTAATACTTAAAATAAAAAAGTACATTTACAAGCATTTTATGCAGGAACTGATATTTTACTCCACATGGAAATAGATTTAAGGAGACTGTTGTTCTTTTTTTACACAGAGTGTAATTTCTCACTCGCATATAGATTTCCATTGCTGGCAATGGAAATAGCAGGGAGGGAATAGCAGGGGGAAAATAAGTTAAACTGAGCAATCATTGTGATTTGAGAGATGAGGTCCCTGTATGAAGCCCTTTATTTCTGCCTGTTCTCTGAATACTTAGTTTTAACTGATAGAGGTACTGTGTTGTATTTTAGGTAATACTCTCTTGTTATTGTGAGTTTCATTTGTTAGATTTTTTTTTAAATGAAACAAAAAAAATATACAGAAAAAAATCCAAAGACCCTGATAGACACCAAAAAGGAATATCTCTAATGCACATCATGTATAAGTGGATCTGTAGTAGAATTTTTGCCAGGTTTTGGTTTATTAAACATTACCAGCAATTTCCTGTGTGTGCTCAGGAAGTAGCGGTTTGGTAATTTACTGACTGGTGATGATGCCATGATGGCTACTGCTGTGCTCTTTGATATTCATCCAGTTGTATTTCATCTCCTTTTGCTGATAAAAGGACAAAATAGTCTGTGAGGAAATACTTTATTTCTTTCAAACAATGATTTTATAAGTAACATTGAAAATAATAACTTAAGGCTGTGTCCTTTATCTTGAAAGGCAAAACCAACAAGTAGTGACTTAGGGGTGGGGGTGCTTTAGCAACAGAAGTTGTTTTACTGGAAGTTTGGGGGGTTTTTTTCAGAAGTAGATTTGGGGTTTTTTTTTAAGTAAATTTTCTACTGGACTGTATGTTTTGACAGGTCAAAAATACTTCTTCAGAAGAAGAACATAGCATTTTGGAAACTGTACAGTCTTTTTTCCTCATTCCCTTTTTGCTTTCTGTGCCAATAATTTTAGTTCTGATTGCATTTTGAAAAACATTTGTCAGAACTTCTTCAAATTTCTATTTACAGTGTGGCTTATAAGCTTGGATAGCTGTTGTTTTTGTGTTAAACAAGGTATCTTATTAAATTTAGGCATTAGCTTGATTTTTTTTTTTAAGGAGTGTTTTCTATTTTTGTTCCTTTAAAAATTGGTGAGGCTTAGTTTTTCTAACTATGTTTTTTTTACCTGATTGTTTAGTTGCATACCCAAACCCTTGTAAATGTTTTCCTAGTTGTATGTGGATAATTGGAGATTTAAATGTTGTATATACTTGTCATCTGTGTTTCTAGTAAAAATACATGGCATTATTCATAGAAATACTTAATTCCTGATTTCCTTTTCTTATCCACTTGCTGTCTGTGTACAGGTTAAGCAGACTTTGCTCCTATTTTTATTTATAGAATTTTATACGTAGCCTCTTAGTTATCATTGATTCTTGTGTAAACTGAGGTACAGCCTTAAATTTCCTAACATAATGCTCATTAAGATACTGTTGGTCATGTAGATTAAAATATAAAATGTGCATGTTTAAGACTGGTACTCTTCAGAGATACAAGACACTAAATTGCTTCTGCGTTGAAATTTAAACCTTTCAAGATGTTAGAGAAGGAGAGTGCAGGTCAGTGTGCATATGCTGAAAGAAGACTGAATTATTTCCAAAGCAAGGATTTGTTTAGGATTTAAATTATTGTGGTAATTAATATTGCAGACAGGCTTGGGATGGGTGGGGGTGTTGAGGTGATTTTTTTTAAAAAAGTTTTGTTTTGTTTTGTTGTCCCGCCCCTGGCCCGGAAATTAAGATCTGACATGCTATGTACAGATTCATTTTAGCTTTAGAGGATGAATTACTAAGGAGCAGTTTGAAGCATAGAAGTTCCTCAATTTGATGTTCTTGGGGGATTCCCCCCACCCCCCCCACCCCCCATGATGGACTATATATGATAAAGCATCTCATTCTCTTTGTATATTATGCACTTGTTAGTTCTTGAATCCTTTCTATAGCTTCAGTTATTGCAGCGGGTTTTAGGTTCTGGTATGACCTATGCCTGTGCTTAAATCTTTTAAAGCTTCTTTGGAAATACACTAGTTTTATTGAAGTCTCTTGAAAATAGTGAACAGTATACCTTTGATCCCAATGAAATGGAACATTTAAGTTGTAAAAATTCCCATCTATTCATACCATGTAATGTGATTTTACATGATTCAGTGCTAACACTTTGGAGTATATTCAAGTAATAGACTTTGGCCTCACCCTCTTGTATACTGTATTTTGTAATAGAAAATATTTTAAACTGTGCATATTATTACATTATGAACAGACATTCCCTTGATCTTCAAATGTAAGACAATGAGGAATGTGCGTGCTTTTATAAATACAAGTGATTGCAGATTCAGTTTCCTTTACTACGGCAGGTGTCCTTTTTTTAAAATAAAAAAAAAAAAGAAAAGAAAAAAACAAGCCAAGTGTTTAAAGGTGAAATACATTCCTATTTGGTAAACCTTAACATTTTTATGATGATTACCAGCACTGCTGACTTTCTAAACAAAAGGCTGTATTGTCTTCCTGTACCATTCCATTTCCTGATTCCCATTTTGCACGAGGATGTATGAGTAAACTATTCAAGAAATGGTTTTGAAATACAGCAGGGGGCCTTGTCTAAGTTGGAATGCAGAATTGCAATGCAAAATGTAAGGAAATGGATGTCTGTCAGAATGCCTGACTCCAAAGGATTTTATATATCTAGTAAACAATTTCCTGATACCGGCAGGCCAAAGAGTCTGTTGAATACTTGAGTTTCTGAAGACCTATATTTCTCAACAAGGTAAGATGGTATACTAGCAAATGCGGATTTTAATACATTTTCAGCAGAGGTACTTGGTTAAGTTTAGGGATCATTTCATCTTTTTTAGATGTTATACTTGAAATATTGCATAACTTTTAGCTTTCACGGGTTTCTTTTTTTTCAGCCTTTAGGAGACTGTTAAGCAATTTGCTGTCCAACTTTTGTGTTGGTCTTAAACTGCAATAGTAGTTTACCTTGTATTGAAGAAATAAAGACCATTTTTATATAAAAAAATACTTTTGTCTGTCTTTATTTCAGCTTGTCTAATATCTTTGCAGTGCTCATTATGTCAGAGTCTCTTCAAATATTCAGACATTAAAACTTAAAGCATGGACATTCTAACGTAGTGGCTAG